GTACAACGTGATTAGAAAAGAAAAATGATGATCGCAGTTGATTTTTCAGTTCAATCCAGCCTAATGTATACACCTTTAACCACATCGATCATACCAGATATCATCTATTCTCAAAACTATCAATATACCAATTGTGTAATGTGGCTTGTTATATGAACAAATTTAGCTTATCTAGGTTCACCAATTGGGTATGTGAAGCAAATACTTTTTTGGGAGTTTTGTACTGTTACTGACTTTATGTCCATGCAAATTTGCATCATACTTAGCCTTCTTTTGATTATATTATTACCAATTCGAGGGCCAATCACTTCTACTCTTAAGCATCTCCACAAGTTGAATAGAAGCAAGTTCGAAAGAAAATCTAGTAATTTTGTGGGGAAGTTCAAGAGTCCTGCCTGATAAGCGTTAGACCAGCATTTCAAACAAACGGCTTCAGATGTCATAAAACCATCCAGAGAGAAATAAACTGTTTCTGTTAGTTTTATTTCGATTTTCAACATGACTACATCAAACATTCTCACCCTTCATTCACCTACTGCTTTTATTACAATGCTTTTAGTCGCACACACTGTGTTCCAAATCCTAGGCACATCTTTGTTAATATTTATTTCAATAATTATCACACAATAAGTGTTTACATAAATGCTAAATCCCGTATTCTTGACTAGCTATCCAGTCCTTCAGTGTTTAGCCAACCTGAAGATGTGTATAAAAGTAGCCAAAATCAAGTAACAGAAGATAGTTGATCTGTCTACTTTGTGACCGTGAAGAAACCTTATTGGATACAAAAATATGAAAATCGTGTACACAGTCCCAAGATTGAAGTAAGGCTTTCTGTCCTGTCAGCGGTGATGACTAGAATAACAACTAGACAAGGAAAACTACAAAACAAGCAAGACTACAACTACAAATTCTAAAGTTTTTCCACGTATACAATATATTTTACCCACTAGAAAACAAGATACTTAGTATATGTCAATTGTGTCTCTATCAGGTGTCAAATCCCGAAAACATTCAAGGAAATCATAATCAGTAAAAATTCTTGGTCTATTGTAAGCTACATGTGCAACTGAATATTCAGTAAACCAATCTGCGAAGTACATTACAACAAAACTACAAAGACATTCATCTGTGCAGAATAACGGAAAAGAATTCATTTACCTTTTAGAACATTACACAAATGGAACTAAAATCTCCAAATGCAAATTTTCTATTCGTCCTTTTTCATCCTTTCACTATACATCTCAATCCATAGATTTGAAATCCACAATATGCTAACAGAAATAGCCGTCACAATAACAGAAATCCATGATATCCAAACCCATTTAGGAATCACATTATTCGCAACTCCACTCAGATAAAACACAAACATTCGATAAACAAAATAAGGTCCCATCAAACCTCTCACCACAGAGTAAAAAGCATAAAACGGAGGGGACAATATTTCACACACCTTAGCTGCAAACTTCACATCTGATTTCCGTGCACTCGCCAGGGTCCACACGTTCTGGCATAAGCTCGTGACCTCCGCAAGAATCAAGAGCACCAGGATCGCATATGCACCGTGATAAACCAAGTATCGACACGTCATGAACACGAAGAGAGTGAACATATGGTGCCCTATGAAGAGAATTTCTCTGGGGTAAAATACCAAGTAATGCAAAATATCCATCAAGAAATATGCAATGCTGTATTCAAGAACAAGGTTCTGAAACGATGTGTTAGGGGAACCGAAGTTTCGGGTCGGGTCGGATAGTATGGCGTAGGCGGCTAGAAACACGGCGGGAGTACCGTGAGCTATGGAAATAATACAGCTTGAAGCTTCTGGCCGGAGCTTCGGGGTCCAGGTCCGGAAAAGAATGAAGTAGGCATTGAGGTAGACGATGAAATACATGATGAAAAACAAAGGCAGGTAATTCGAGATTGAGAACTTATCCATGATTAGAATGGAACCCAATTCAATTTGATGAAATCCAATTTAGGGTTTTGGGAGATGGGAAATTTCTGAATTCACTGTAGACATTTACAGAGAAACAAGAATTATTAAAGGAACAGGAAAAAATGGAGAAGAAAGGCAAAATTTAAGTGAAAAGTAAGTGGCAGCAGATCTCGTAGTTTGCGAGGAGATTGAGAATGAAATATGGCCGCTGATGTCTCTTTCTTCTTCACAATTCAAGCAGCCAGGCAGATTTTTGAAAACGGTGACACCGATATCCATCTAATTTGTAACGTTTAGGAAGGAAGGAGGAGATTAGTTTCGGTATAATTTGGTTTCCAAGTCCCAATAGAATTCGATTCTAATCGCGAATATTCGATCAAAAAAAGGAATTATTCTGATTGGTCCAAGTCTAACGTAATTTAAGTTTTCTTAATAAAATAGTGGACATTGCTCTAATTTGCTTCAGTTGATAACCAAAAGTGTTTGGGTATTTGGTCCAACAAGCCTACATCGTTTTACGACAAAATGTAAAGGTGAATATAGTTCAATCAAAGAATTGAATCAAACTGTAAGTCAATGACTTTTTTTTTACGTTACGAAAGCAAATTAGAACCGAACCATTCGATTCCAATTTGGTTCTTTATAGTGAATAAATTTGATCCACTATAAAAAATAGGATTTAAACATTGAATACTCCGTTATGAACATAGCCAAAAGTCCAGAAGTAATTTCAAAAATACATATTCATATTGTCTCTCAACTAGTTGGCAACTGCTCAAGAAGAAAAAACATTGAGAGGGAGAACCGAAAGTTGAGGCTTCAGTTAGAGGATTGAATTTCAAAAATCCATGCGACGGTGGTGGTTAAGGAGTATGGTGGTTAAGGAGTATGATGGTAAACAACGGCTATTGTGTAGGAGTGTTAGTGTGTCTAAAATTGAAAAGGAAATAAATGAGTTAAAATTTAGATATAGAGCTTGACCGTTTTGTATGATATGTGATAAGCTAAAATGTGATGGTAAATTACCTTTTTGTTCATTTCACATTTGTATTTTTCAACGCTGAATATTTTAGCGTGATTCATCGACTTGTAAAAAAATATACAAAAAAAATTGAGTCTGATTCTCTGTTCTAAGAATCAAAATCATCATTCTTTCTGTAGGTTTGTTCAAATTATTTTATCCACCCATAAGAAAAGGTACTAAAACTAGAGACATTAGAATTACACGAGAACACAAACAAACGATTCTATTTATCGCCCGACCGTCACACTTAAATTATCAACAATAAACATTTATTGTTGTATAGAATAGGAGCTTTAAACTGTTGGTTGTTAGGGAGACATAAAGACTTATGATCCCCATAATTCAACGTAATATTCCATTGACAATTCCATCCAAAAAATATTTAAAAGTTTACACACTAACATAATAACATGAATACAGTTTATTAAATGACACGATTAAATATATAGATTTTTTTTTAATTTTTTTTAAAGGTCAAAATGTAAAGGACAATTGTAACATCGTTCCTCCTCTCTTCACCCACAAAGACTAGTTATGTAGATTTAACAAAAGCTGGACAGAGTGGAGAGACATCACAGGTAGTTTAGTTGCATGTTCACAAATGCTCATCGAAAATTTAAAAAAAATGATCAAGTGGTTATTTAGTACACAAAAAAATACTTAACAAAAAAGAGTAATGAATACATACCATGGGGCATAACTAGGGAAGAATGCACTCTGCAACGTACCCAATCCAACTATATCAAAGCACAAGAAAATCAAAGAAATACAACCAAAACTTTTTTTGAGAGGTTTAGCTATTGACTTTTGTGTTTCTGTCTTTACACAGCATATGCCACTCCTGCAGTATAGCTACTTGAAGCGCCCGATGTTCAACCTCCTCTGGAGTTAATTTAAACAATGTGGTAGGTCCCTTTTTACCATCTTCCTCCTCGTTTTCCTTCTCCTCCTCCTCCTTCTCCTCCTCTTCCTCTTCTTTATCCTTTGCACGGGGTCTTGCTGCCTTCAGCAAAGCAATTCTTTCCATTGAGGTCCTCAGCCTCTCGGCAGCAGCTGCTTTGACTTCATCTTCAGGCATGTATTCAACACTCCCATCGGTAAGGTCGTCCAACCAGCCCTGTAGATCCGAACCAATCTCCTTTGTAATAGATACATCTGAAGCCCGAACCACAAATTTACATATCATGGTGGTTGTCTCATCACCCAGGTCCACATTTCTACTCACTTCGCTGGCACCAAAAATCATCATGCCCACAAAGCCTCCATACCAAGTTTTTGCAGCATAGCATAACTGTTTCAAGACCAAGAAGTTGTAATGAAAAGAGGATAGTGACTTTGAATCAACAAACCATATAAAAATGACAGTTCTGGAATGAGTACATCTTCGATGAGGCTTGTAAGCACGTTTGACTGTGCTTAAAAGTAGGCTGAACCCTAAAGTTACTTATTTTGTGAAGCATAATTTTAAATTTATTACAAATCTTAATTTTCTAGTCTTTTAACTTTTAGAAAAGTAACTTCCAATCTTAGCCAAATAGGCACTTAAAAGAAGTAACAGGCTACTTCCTCGTCTCAATATAGAGAGATTTCCTTGTGAAAATAGCAAAGTAGAGTTCTCACAAGACATAACTTTCTCCTCCCTTTCCCCATGTAGTTGTTTGTGTGTGCCTGTGCGAGAAAGGAGGGGGAGTGAAGAGAGAGAGAGAGAGAGAGATCCAAGGACAGGAAAGTGTTCCATTAATTATATCTGTCTCACCTTACATATAATATATTCACAGCGAAGGTAAAACAATTGGATACCTATGAAGATAAACAAAACATGTGTACCTGAACAGTGGAAGTGTAGTAATGAAGTAAACAAACCTGAAATCCTGCAACGGTGCGAATGATGTGTGAGCAAACTCTATGGAACGGTTTAGAAGACAGAGATTTCAGGCCACTAAGGAAAGGTGACTCCCCATACTGCTGTGCTGCAGTAGCCTTAAAACCACTTCCTTCGTATGTATACGTACCAGTACACTCTATTATAGCAGGGAAACTAGGCCATAGGCGGAAATATTCTACGGGTGAAATTTTGTGGGGTAAAAGAAGCTCAGTAAGGGGAATTTTGTAAGGCTGACATCTTAAAATCACAGGTTCTCCTAATTCAGGCCTCAGACTTCTCTTTTGTCTCATGATTTGTGGATCTTCTTCTGAATAGCTCCCTTCATAATCTGCAGGAGCACCACTACCATAGAAGGGATAGTACAAAACTTGGACCCAAAGAGCACATCGCTCAAATTGGGAAACACCAACAGTCACGCTGCATAATACTGGTTCCTGAAAAATATAATTTTTCTTGTTAGAAATATATGATCAAGTTTTGCTGATGCAACAGGATAATGTTACAACTCAACCTGTGAATTAAGGTCTCGTAACTGTCTCACAGCTTGAGGAGATCCATCCATATAGTATAACCCACCAGACAGTCCAACTCTAATATCCACCCGATTTAGTTCAACTTCTGTAAGATTCAGAACCTGCAAACATTTGAATTGTTACTACGATGACAACTTAGCTGCAAAACAACAGTGTTAATAATATAAATTCTTAGAAAACTTGAAGTGACGTGTTAGGATAGAAACTGAAATGAGAGAAAAGATAGAAGTTTGAATGCAAAAACTTATCGTGACTTAAGGTAAACAAAATTATGAGCAGACGTAGAAAAAAACTTGTGAATTAGTATCAGAAAACATAAGGTAGTGAATAGATTATTTTTTATACATATATGAAAAATGACAGTAATCTTTAAAAGAAGTTTCGTGGAAAATATACATTTTTCACTTGAATAAATAATCTGTAAAATGAAAAGAACAAAACTATGAAACTAATCCACCAGTAGCAGGAGGAAGATTTGCAATCCTGAAAAAAAAAAAATCTAGATAAACGAAAAGGAGCAGTTGCAAAGTGCGGGGGCAAGTATATGCAATCAAGCACAATCACATGAATGCACACTCACAGAGTGTGAGGTGAAAATGGGCCAAGGGACTTTCTGAGATGAGATGGATGCTTCTGTTTTAATTATTTTTTTCACTTCTAATGCAGAAAGTGACATATTTTCAGTTGAAATTCAAATACTCTTGCATTGAAAGAACCAAGGACAATATCATTATAAGCCATCTTACGTTAGACTAATAAGCATTTGTTCTTGAACAAGCAGAGCAAAACAGGAGATGCTCGGTCTCAGGTCATTCCTTAGAGAAGTTCAATGATTATTTTCAAGCTTAGCTGACTTATAATTTAAAACAAATTAGCTCTTTAATCAAACAACACAAGTCCAAGTCGTTCAACAAGACTTGGTTTGATTCCTTAACAACCATACTCAAGGCAGCATCAGCAAATAGCTAAGAGAATATGTCCAAACCTTCAAATGCAGAGTAATCCTTCCATCATTTGGATCCGCCAAGTGATATGCTTCGACATAACAAGGATCACTACTACCAGTCAAAGTGTATGCACTAGGAGGAACCTTGAGCAAACTCGAGTCAACTCCCTTTGTCAACAATAGAGTTAATTCATTGGGATCTGGCCGCCACAGTTCTAAACAAGCCTTATGAATCAATCCTTCCAGTTTTCGGTCCTGAGCAGCAGATGCGTCATAGAACTGGACAGTCAGCTTGTGGTGGCTAAATGGATAATCTCCTCTGGTTTCACTAACCCCAGCCCATCTGAAGAACAAAAACAAAGCAACATTATTCACCCAAGGAAAATGAAGAATTGAGTTGAAAGGTTTCAAGCTGCACAATGTTGCATGCAGAATTTCAGGTCTGATGAATACAGCTGTGATCAATAATATAAGTGTCGTAAAGTAAGCCATTTTTTGGTCGAGCTTAAGCAACAAAGACCTTTTTTCAAACTCTCCAGTTGTAGTTGCCAAAATTTGGCTCAATCTTAGCTTAACTTTAGAAAATAAAACACCCAATCTTAGAGCACATGTCAACCAAATAAATTTGAACAGCAGGTGGGAAAGATCAACACGGGCAGAATCAAACAATGCACTTTACTTGGACAGAACTCTCCTATACTCAGTGGTTCCCACACTAAGCCAAAACATATATATGAGAGGCTGTTGATTACTGAGAAATTCTGGTTTGACCAATTGCCAGATGGTTCAAATAATCATAAATTCAATATAGAAGGATTTTGGCTTAGATTCTTACTGTTTATTACCCTACGCTAAAAAGCTTCATGCATTAGTTTATTACTTACTTTTAAAAACTTGACTGCCATTAAAGTAAGTTGAATTTATTCATATAATTTTTATTGTTATATTTATTAATGAAGTGAGTTTCCTTAAAATAAGTATTAAACTTAATTATTTAAAAATTTAACTTTTCCAAATGTATTTAAAAAAGTAGAAAATGAAGAGCTATAACTGGAATATTTATTAGATTTGCTCTTAGGGTATGTTTATTATTACTATTGGAATTGCATTTGCATTAGATAAATTGGCCAATTTGAGCCTTAAAAAGGATTGGGTTTTTTATTTCTCTTTCAGATTTTGAAATTAAAAATGAAAAAAACGTTTAGGTTCGAAAATTATATTAAGTGTTAAGCATAGTATTTTTGTCAATTTTAACTGTAGAAAAGAGCTTTTACATCTCATATAACGAAATTTAATGCTAAACCTTGGGCTCAATCTTAGATTTAGTTTAGAAAATAAAAAACCCAATCCTAGAGCATGGGTAAACCAAATAAATTTGAACAGCAGGTGGGAAAGACAAACACATGGGCAAAATCAAAGAATGCACTTTACTTGAACAGAACTCTCCTATGCTCAGTGGTCCATATAGATGAGAGGCTGTTGATTACTGAGAAATTCTAGTTCGATCAATTGCCAGATGGTCTTGAGTTGCTACCATTGCGATCTAATGGTTTGATCAGAATTACATCATGAGTCCTAAGTTGCATGCAATATAACATTGCAGATTTTGTTATCATCCAGTGCTCAAGAAATTTATGGCAGAATAGAATACTGACAAGTCAGCACAATACATTCTTTAGCATGGCTTAAAATTGAATTGAGGCCTGTCTTAGAGTGAGGCGAGCAAAAAAAAAAGTTCCAAAGCACTAACTGTGAAGCAATTTTTGGAGGCCTATGCCTGACAACACCGATTCAAGGTTTGTTAGGCGTGAACTCCTTAATTCTCAACACTTATTTACTTACCTTTATGTGTGTGCCCATAAAATATAAAAATTATGATTGACCCATTTTGGGACTATCCACTAGTAAAAATTGTGATTCTAGTCGACCCGTGTAGGGAATAGTCCATTGCCTCCACCAACTAAAACAATAGCTTTTTTTTTTTTTTGTTACGTCTTTCTTTTGATTGTTTTCACACATTAAATTATTGTACTATGAATTTGAAGATTATTTATGATTTATTATGAGCCTATTTTGAATTTTAATAATTTTTTGACATTTTTTGTGGTTTATGGTGAGGCGCTCACAAAGGAAAAATGCCTTACGTACCCAATTACGCCTTTTATTGATCTTTAGAAATTTGAATTAAGACATAGAGTAGTATTATCTAAAGAATTTCCATCCACTATTTCACATATAATAATCACATAGTTTTAAATTGCTACATAATTCTATGTAGATGCACGTGTACACACATGCGCGCGAACAGTGTGCCTGGGTGTGTGAGAGTAAGTATATACATATAGAGTGTTAATTCCTCGTAGAAAATTCATTTTTGAGATCACATAAAGAAATCCTATTTTTTTAATTTTTACCATTAAAAAGTTAGGATAGCATACTCACTTGTTTTCAGGATGACTAGAAACGTATTTGATTCTCTGTAAGATTAAACGGCATTGGTGCTTATTGACAGAATCGGCCAAGGGATTGGTCCTGAACTCTTCAAGCTCTTTAGTCAGCAGCTGCCCAGCCCTAGCATTACGAGATCCCAAGCGCTGAGCACATAGAAGAACTGCCTGAACATCTTGGAGGCGATTTGTTGTGCTCGCAGACGAGTCAATGTTGAATAGAACTTTGTGGATATTCGATACAATAATGTTTAAGGAGTCCTCTGGATCATCAGCAAGAAGAGGGTCCAAACCCTCTAAATCAATGTGTTCTGAAATAGCCCAAATCAGACGTGCGCAGATTCTTGGAGTGTTAACCTGCCAAATGGAATATGTTTATATAACGAGATATTTACAGAAGAAACTAAAAGAAATTTAGCAAAGTTCGTTCTCTTTAGACCCACAGGGTGTTCCAATAAAACTAAGGAAGTTTTCTATAGCTGAGTCAAGCACAAACATAAGACTCCAGTTTGGCTATAATTAGAAGCTGGAAAGCTACAGTATCACTCAAAGAGAATTCAATCTCAGCCATGAATACAGGCTACACTCCAAAAATCCACCACGTGTTTTAAAAGGTCTGTTCCTAATATGACCAATTGCAATACAAAACAAATAAAATCAAGTTGCACCAGGGCACCTGTAAAATACAACCATTATATTGCACAATAACCAAAAGAGTTCACTGAAACTTGAAGTAACAATTCTGATACTTAACCAAGCATTACAAACCTCACGGAGATCTCTAACAAGTTCTCGTTGCATATTTTGCAAGCGTGTTTCATTCAGTATCTGATCTTGAGATGCTCCGTCTTTGACTCTTTTGACCCCACCCCTTGTGTCATAAATATGGCAAAGCCTGACAAGCAACTTTAAATAGCAATCAATGGCATATGTTCGGCCATCGCAATCCCATTTAACACATGGCCTACAAACTTCCACCACTTCCAGAGCTGGTTCAGTCCAATTCAATGCACCATAACCAGTACCATAGGCTAATGCTCCAATCACCCGACTCTCCTTACCAGAATTCTTTTGTTCAGGCAATGGCAAGGACAACTGGAAGCAACTTTCTACCAGCATGGCAACTAACTCTTCTCTAAACAAGCTTTTACTAGTTACACCGTTGAGGTCATCTTTTATCCTAGCATCTTCAAAAAGTGAAGCAATATCAGTTCCTGGAATAGGTTTTTGACCTCTTCGAACATTTTCCTTAGCAAAGAGATCAACGCAGAGAGCAGTTCGACATATGCATGCCAAGGCATGCATGCGATCTGATTCTGCCCGCAAGTTTCTCACCATAAGAAGCAACCTTTTAAACAAAGAAACCTACAATATTGAAAAATGATGCATCAAAATGTGCTTAAAACCTCGACTCTATCTGAGAAATTAGCTGCTGCTAATTATATAAGCAAGAAATTCAAGAGAAATTCAAGATTGGAAACATAATATTTGTTTATCAAACTATCTGATAATACTGAAGCATAACTATCTCAGCAGTGACAGAACCAATATCCTCGTACTATGCTGGGGGTGGGGGTGTTCAATATTCAGCATAGCCAAAAGAATTTTCCAAAAACATATTCTAGGGTAAAATAATACTGCAGTAAAACTAAAAAGGAAATAGCTTCGTAGAAGAATGATAGATATTTAAATGAAGTGGGAAAGGCAGACCACGTGATCTTCATTAAACCAAAAGAGGAGAGGGGATCTTGGAGTTTGGACAAGGAGAGATTTCTTGTTTTCCCACCAACAAAGGATGAGGAGTGTCAACTTCTGAGGCGACGACCCTGGCCTAATCAAGATCACCTTGGCAGCTTATATATAGAGGAAGGAGAAGCTTCATATACACAAGATATGAATCAAAAAACTTTTTTATTTCTTAAAACCTTAATTCTTAAATGAGGTGTTATTATGACATAATAGTAAGCCAAGACTCATATATCATCAAGTGTCACTGTCATCCACAATAATAATTGGGCATTCTGGCCCTGACAATTTTTTTTTATAACCGTGGATATTCGGGCGAACTTGCGCGCACCTTGACTAATCCCACAAGGCCCCGAGGTTTACGGTCGGGTACTCACCTCAGTGGCATTGAGGAGACTCGATCTGGTGACATAAAAATACAAAGTAAATTCAATTCATATTATGATGCAGATAGTTAACTCTACAGATTGCTTCACAATCTGCAATGCAAGAGCTCCAACCCTTTGTCCTGAAACTGGATTTATATTTCTGATTTTTAGGGTTGCTCTAGGATTTGTTTTAGGAACATGCCTCCTGGTTGCTTGACAAACATGGCATGCTATACATTCATCACCATGTTCACACATGATCTGTGCAGCATTAGTTTCTAATCTGGACTTTGGTTGTGGGGACTGGGGCATGGTTGTTTCAACTATCTTATATTGACACTTTCACTCTTTCTTTAACTATAGGGAAGGCCGTAATAAATGAACCATCTGTCTTAGTTAGCATTTAGAAATCACAGAGATGGTCTGAGAGAGACTTGCTAATCATGTCGAGCGAAATTCACAAACCTGCATACTAAGATCAAGGAGATGTAAATTGGTAACGACAGCTTTAACAATGCTCTCGCGCGCAGAAGAATACTCCTGCCTATCCCAAAGTGTAAGAATTGCAATAATTGAAGTCGAAGCCCACTCAGGCTTTCCACCAGGAACATCAGCCAAGTACAACATATTAATCCCCACCTCGAATATCAAGGCAGGATCCAATGATGAGGCCAGGAATGGAGCCAAATGCGACACTACATCTGACACTCCTACAAACCTCTCTGCATTCCCCGACTCCAATGTACCATCACTGCTGCTCTTTGATGACCTTGATAGTTTCTTGATAACCTCTATTGAATCAGAAGCCACAGCCTTCACTGCATACACTAATGGATAAACTGAGGCTCTAAAGCTCTCTACTGGAAGAATTAATGATCGAGCCATCAAAGCATTTCTCCTTTTCCACACAAAATCTACCATCGAAGAAATCCAATTGGATCGGATTGCAACTGAGTTTTCACTGTCAATTAGTTTATCACCTGCCAGTCTACTCATCCTTTTTGATTCGAATTCTTGGAACAGCCTGCCTATGGACTCAAATGCGACCTTGGAAACAGCATCAGATTTGTCAAGCATGTTCTGGGCGATTCTGGTCCACCAATTGGAGACACGATCCAGCAAATTAATGTTGTTCTCGCATAATATCACGAGGTCATCACGAGCAAGGATGCAGCCGAGGGTTTCAGTAATAGAGAACCTGAGGTTGTCACTGGGAGAGTCAAAGCAGCTGGAGATTTCCTTGTTGCAGTCCAAAATGAGCTTGCCAAGCCGATGGGACGGGATTGCCGCGAGAATAGAGACAGCAGCGGCAGTAACATCGGGATCAGGGAAGTCCAGATCGTTGCGAATGCCAGTGCAGACAGTTTCCCATAGGTCAGCGGTGAGTCGAGTGGAGCGGATTAGGTCAAAAGCAAGCTTCTTGGAGATGGCGGAAGCAGGGGAGGCAACGATCTCTTCAACAGCGGACTTGGCGATAACGGAGATGTCGCGTCCCGCGGCGGACTGCTGGAGGGCTTGGAGAAGGGCGCCGGACTGACGGAGGGCATCGTTGGACCGGAGGTCCGCTTGGATCTGAGCGAACAGTATATCCATTTATTTACTTAATTACGCGCAAATCGAAAGATAAACATACATATATAGATGTTGGAGTATGAATTTGCTCGTCAAATACAATTGTTTTTTTACTCTCCGGCGATGGCTGGGGTTACCGACGGTGAGGGAGTGGCTCAACTCCGGTTAGAAGTTGACGACTTTGCAAAATTTCTCCATTTTTTACCGGGTAAGCAACTTCAGTATTCTCGTTAATGAGACCATCGTTCCATTTTTTTTTAAATAAATATGTGTGTAGAGGTTAAAATTCGATTAAAATTGAAAAATTAGTTGTTAATGTTGATTTTTATTAGATGGATGGAATCCAATAACGGCTATATTTTCAATTTTAATTGGACTTTTCTGAGATTCTCGAACACGCATTTTTTAATAAAATAATATTACATAAAATTCAAAAAAATTTATTTTATTTTTAATCATATATTTTTCGTCAATCTACTATTCCAAAATATATCCTACAAAAAAAAAAGGGAATTCAAACGGGCTCTAAATCGCGAATAATGTGTGATGGAGATAAAATAGAAAAATATATTTTCGAAATGGTTTTGCTATTTGGTGTACAAGTCCAATAAAAAAAAAAATTGTATACCTCCCTATTTTTGAGGGAAACTACACACCAGTATGCATCCGTGAGGTGCAAGTAGTAAAACGCTTTTGGAAATAAGGAGAATTAAGGGCTAAAAACTAAATTGTGACTACTATATAAAAGAGTGAGTTTGATTTTTACTATTCATAAGCCGATTGGCCACCTAAGCTGAGCCGAATTGAGTGAGCCGCGTTAGCCGAGCAAAACATCTTTGATCTTTCTCTTCTCTTCCATTCGTACACGCTGCTTCCCATACCTCATTATTCACTCCAAGCAAAACGTTTTTTCCTTCTCTATGTGTACACTCTACCTCCCATACTTGGCTATTTACTTCATTCTCCACTTGTCCTCTCATTTATGCAACATTTATCGTGAATTCCTCCTATACACATACAATGCATATATAGGGAATCTCGACAATCGCTTCCAAATTGATGGAGCCCCATATGTGTGCCATGCCTAGTAATGTTGGGTAGAGGTTTGGTGTTGTCGGAATGTGATTTTTTGATCGTTTTTGCTTATGCACCCTGACTTTGGAGTGGATTTTCGTCCAAATCTGCCCAAGTTATGATCGGTTGCTATTTGGGATATGTAGGATATGTAGAGGGCAGTGTGGTCTTCACGTTGGTGTGTTGGTCCGGTGGACATGGTAGCCGGAAAGTGGTGTTTTTGCAGGATCATCTTCAGTTTGGGTAGTGATACTGTGAGTTCCTTGACCACTTCACTTATAATGGGTCATATTTTTTGTAATTTACATGTGATCATTGGATTGAAACACTATATCTAAAAGAAATAAAAATTAAGAAGATAGTGACGATCGTCCGCACTGAACGGACCAAAACGTCTGTCCGCGCTGCACGGACGAGTTAGGTCCGTGCAACGCAGAGCGAAGAATCCTCTCCGTTCTGAACGGAGTGCATCTCTCAGTTCAGAACGGAGAGTCCAATTTTCTCACGCAACCATCATTATTTAGGTAGAAATGTCAAAACGGGTCTGGTAAAGGGAGAAAGAGATAAAAGTCTGATTTTTTCCCTTCAATTTTTGTAATTTTTTCAGCTGCAAAGGGTTTATGTGATGGGAAAATTGGAGTTTTTGTTTGAATTAAGAGCTGGATGTCACGGACCTAGAGAACTCCCCTACCCATGTGGCATGGCAAGATAGCTTATTACGGGTTTATTGCTATATTTCTCGGAAGTGCATTGACGATGTCCCTTCAACAGGTTTGGATGGCATGCTTTCTATCCCTATGTTGTGCTTGTGTTGCATATCTAAGCTTGCCGGTCGCATGTGTGAGGTAGGCTGCCTTGGGGGTCCCTGAAACCTCAAGGACCGAATGGGAGGTCCATTACATGGAGCTTGGATTCAAGGGTGTTTTCCGAATTTTAGAACGAGGTAAAACTCCTTTTAATTTTCTGTAATTTTTTTTCATGTTTTGAATAATTTCTGGCTGGGTTATTGTTGGAAGTGTCTCTAATTTACTACTTGCTGTACTTATTACGATAATCCTAATTATCTCTTTTGAATACGTCTCCTTCGTCTTTAACTTCGCCATTTCTTCCGTCTTCATTTTTTGTACTTTGCGTTTGCGTGTGAAAAGACGAAAGTAAAATAGTGGTTCATTTTTTTGGAGTGAATCTTCTTTTACTGTCCATGCGAACTGCGCTTTTCAATGTTGCCTCCAAACATTTAGCAACTTATAAGAAAATCTTATGAACTAATGCTTGGCATAAATATTTTTTTTATACATACGTTATTATGTAGTCAACTATATCAAGGCACGTGCTTCTCACTAGTGTTACTAAAAGAGTAAGTTATGGACTAACTTGTAATAGTACTAATAACTTGGTTTCCTTTAATAATTAAATGAGACTTTTTGCGCTCTGAACTTTTGTTGAGTTAAACGTTACATTAGTCCTTGAGCTTATAGTCTATCATGTTTTACTCTTTAAACTTTAAAATACTTTTGAGTAGTAATTGAACTTTAATATTTTATATTTCATGGCTAACTCACTATATTTCATTAATCATTAAACTTGTACATTCATTACACTTTACTCACTATATTTTAAAATGATTCCAAGTAGTCATTGAACTTTATAATATTTTTGAGTAAAATTAATTTTCTGGACTTGAATCAAGAGATTAAAATAAAATAAAAATCAATTAGATAATGAGATTGTCCATGTGAAACATTTTAGAGTTTGTTTGAGAGAGATTTTAATTCAATTAAAATTGAAAATATATCCGTTATTGGGTCTCACTCGTATAATAAAAGTCAACAATAACGACTAATTTTTTCTCATGTGAAACATTTTAGAGCTTGTTTGAGAGGGATTTTAATCCAATTAAAATTGAAAATATATCCGTTATTGGGTCTCACTCGTCTAATAAAAATCAACACTAATTTTTGAATTTTAATTCGATTTTAATTTAAACATTTGGCTGTGACTAAACTTTTTTCCTTTTCTTTCTCTTAGCCCTTTGCCTTTTCCTGAAGGGAAGTCTACATAAATCCTGGTTTTACTTATACACATTTCAAAATTAAGGTTAGATGTTTTAAATTTCAAAAATCAGGTTTTTATTTAAATTAATTTATGAATTACTTAATTAATTATATGTTTTATTAATAAATATATAACGGTCACAGATCTATACAATTTGGTCACAATTCAAAAATTTTAAGGTCACAATTCAAAAATTTAAAGGTCACAATTATTTCATCGGTCACAAATCATAAAATTTTTAAGTCACAATACTTAATTAGGTCACAATTTATCAATTTATTGGTCACAATTAATAATTTTTAGGTCACAACTAATAATTTTTAGGTCACAAATTAATAATTTTTATGTCAGAATTAATAATTTTTTGGTCACAATTAATAATTAATGGTCACATACAATCAAATCGTTTGTGACTACCACCAACGATCGTTTGTGACCACAAGTAGGTCACAAATCACACTCCGTACACACAACCACCGCCAACACCACCCAAACCCGGAACCACAGCCGCCACTACCACTCCACCGACGACAAAAACCACGATCTCACTACAAAATGGGCGATTTCGACAATCCAAAAAACCCCCAGCTACACCAACGCACACCAACACACTGAACAACACCAAAATCGCCGCCAGATCCGCCATAACCACCACAGCAACACTGCCGGCGATGTGCCAGATCCGCCATAACCACCACATCAACCATTAAAATCACCATACCCATCCAACCAAAATCAAAATCGAAACTGAAAAAATAAAAAACGAAAAAATCAGCGACGTAGCAGCGCGATTCGCGTCGCAGCAGCTGCTGCGAATCGCAGTAGCGTCGCAGCGACGCAGCTGCGATTCACAGCAGCAGCAGCGCGATTCGCAGCAGCTGCGACTCTGCTGCGATTTGCAGCAGATGGAGGAGGCGAGGGGAGGGCAGGGCAGGCGAGAAAGAAAAAGAGATGGGAGAGGAGAGGGGGTGGAGGACAGTGAAACGGACGGTGCGGCTGAGTTTGGGAGCAGGGGACGGACGGCGCGGCAGAGGGCGGTGGATGCGACGGAATCGCCGTTTGGGTGAGAAGAAGGAGAGACGGTGGAGAGTGTGTTGAATTAGATTTAGGGTTTGATTATTATATAAAAAAAAGATTTTAAATTATTAATTTGAACCTGATTTTTGCAAAATGAAACTTAAAACAGGAATTAAAAATCAAACCCAGGTGTAATTTCCTCTTTCCTGAATCCACCGATCCATCGGTCGGTCGGTCCGTCCATCTAATTCAGAGAAACCCCACATCAGAGTAGAAGGCAATGGGAGATTACCACTTCGTGTACAAGGATGTTGAAGGATCCTCAACGCAGTGGGACGACATTCAGAGAAAATTAGGGAACCTCCCGCCGAAGCCTGCGCCGTTCAAGCCTCCGGCTTTCACCTCCGCCGATGACGAAGATTCCAAGGATAAAGACAAGGCATGGATAGATGAGAAAACAGAGGAAGAGTTAGAAGATCTTGAGGATGATCTCGACGACGATCGCTTCCTCCAAGAGTACAGGCATTGCTCTCTTTTCCATTATTTGACTTTGTTTCCAGTAAGACCTTTTTCGTGGAAATTATTAAGAAATGTCCCTCAGGTATATTTTCCTGATGTCAATTCATTTATAATTTGGTTGAATTTTCTCTATCGGCCAAGGAAACATGGTTGGATATTTTCCGTGATAGATAAAGGAAACAGGAATTCTATTTTAGTAAATAATTTTATTAGAAGTAATCCTGGTATTAGTTGGAAATGGGGCTGTTGTTAACCTGGCTGGTTCATGATTTGGCTATTGAGCACGAACCTAACTCTAGAGGTAAATTGCACATATGCTCATTTTACCAGCTGTGTTAATGTAGTAATAATAATAGTGGAAGGAACTAGTTCCGTGCTCAAAATCAACTTTGTGGTTGTTTATCTTCCATAGAAGGAATCAAACAGTGTAGTGTAATAGAGGCCACCATGGATTTCTTTTTTTGGGTCCGTTTATTTTATTTATTTCTTTGGACTTGGAGGTGATGTAGCAAAATTGCTCTTTTTCACTTGACCTTGAAAAACAGAGGGAGATCAATTCACCATTTTTGTTTAAGATGTTTTATGGGAAGTCGGGTTTGAAGTTAACAATGGTGGAGTAATTAATGGCTGAAAAAGCTGTGAAGATGATTTATTATTCATCAGAATTTCATTTTGGGGCACAAGACAGAATTCTCAGGGGTGAAAGGTTGTAGATACTTCTTTTGGCATCTTTGGTTACTATGTTTGAGATAGAAGACAAAGAATTCCAGTAATATTAAAAAAAAAGAGGAGGATTGCCACGTTTCCCATTTCATCAGCCAACAGAAATCCCCTTTGGTCATGGGTAAACAAGGGAAGTAGCACTGAGTGACTAACAGCGGAGGAGAGACCTGCATAGAAGCTAAGTGTATAGATAATAAAATACCACTATTGAGTTCTCAAAGGAAAAGGAAAATTTCATAATGATTGTAGAACCCGAGATGAGAAAGTAACACTTCTAATTCTTATGTCTTGTTTTATGCTAATTGTCATAGGAAGAAGAGATTGACGGAAATGAGAGAAGCGGTCAAGATTGCCCGGTTTGGTTTGGTGGTTCCAATTTCAGGATCAGATTTTGTCCGTGAAGTTTCACAAGCTCCTCCTGATGTCTGGGTAGTCGTGATGTTGTACAAGGATGGGTATGGTACTTATCAAGCGCACTAATGATTGTGTTCTTATTTTGGTTAGCACCGAATTTAATATTGGCAACATCCAGAATTCCATTATTAACTGTTATTCTTTTGATAGATTTCCAGAGTGCCGGCTGCTTTTGGAGTGTATAGAAGCACTGGCAACAAGATATACTGCAACAAAATTTGTCAGAATTATATCCACAGAGTGCATTCCTAACTACCCGGATCGAAATCTTCCCACACTGCTTGTTTATAACAATAGTGCTGTTAAGGCAACTTACGTGGGGCTCCATAATTTTGGTCAGAGATGCACTCCCGAAAGTACATATCTTTCTCTCCTTCCCCTTAAAAATATTTTTTACCTGCACGTGTATTTTTTTGATTTAAAATGATTAGTTACCCTTTAGGTTATTCAGACATTTCTTTGAGCAGTGTCTATGGGACAACCAATATCTTGCAATGTTGGAAATGGTGTTAAAGTAAGATGTAAGTTGACTTTTCAAAACGTGGACGAGTTTGGGAGAACTTGAAACTGATTAGTGGGATTCAAAAAAAATTATTTGTATATCTTCTAAATGTGTCTCTGATAAAGGTAGGAACAGGATTCTCTATGAATAGAAAAGTATACAGTTCTCAGTGAATTGTTTCTCATGGGTTGAGATCAATAAAATACCACCATACACTTATCTAAGAGTGCTTCCCTAAGCCAATACCTTATCAACCTCCTACCCCTGGCCTCCCAAAAAAATATAGAAATAAAGGAAAATAGGGCATAAAATATCTTTTTCAAAACCAGTGGGTCATTGGAGAGCAGAAGCTATGGTCAAGCAACTGCCACACTCTTTATTTGTGATCACATATGGCTGAGCATGTCTCAGAATTACGCAAAAGAGATGCTTTTGGCCACTGTCACTTGCTATGGTTCTGCTGATTCTGATATATTTTTAAAATTTGTTTGATTGTAATCTTTTGAAAACCTGCAAGTGCACGAGATAGTGGTCAAGTAATATAATGATGAATATAGTGTCGAATCCACGAGTGCTATGCGTTTGATCGAGTTAAAATTAATTGCAACTTTAATCAAATAACAAATAAATTTGGGTAATGCTACATGTACACACACACTTTTATACAATCTTTTACACCTCTCTCACATGGAGGGGGGTCCACGATTATTTTATTATGTGTGGGCCCCCTCTATGTGAGAGAGGTGTAAAAAATTGTGTACACTTAGCATTATTCAATAAATTTTGTGATTTTTTTTATACTAATACCTAAATTATCAATTAAACTAATGAAAGTAAGCCCCTGTTTGGTGCACATGATCAATTCAAGAATGCACCCCTGTTTGGTGCACATTATCAATTCAAGAATGCATTTTTTTGTTTGATATGTTGGGGAATATGTGGTTAAAAAAGAAGGAAAAATTATTGATGTGATGAAAAATATTATTTTATTGAATAATGTATGGTTAAAAATGAGTAGAAGAATGAGAATGAAAAATATAATGTGGCTCAAATGGGGCATAAGTAAATGTGTTTTTCAAATATGTGAGATGCAATGCATTGTTGAGATGCAATGCATTGATCAATGTTCCTAATTTAATTGAAAGTCTCTCTTGATAGCGATCAAATTTATTCTCCTCATATGACCCTTCTATCTCTCGATGAAAGATACAAACATGATAAATGTATTAACAGGTGTTAGAATACCTATTGAAACTATATAAAATATAAAGGTATATCTCTATTTTCTATCGAACCTTACAATATATCAATATTTATTATATTGTGTTTAAACCATATTGTCTCTCGATAACAATAAAATCCATTAACAATTCAATTTATGATCAAACAATTGAAAAAATGATAATAAACATCCACAAATCAAATCAAATTAAAGTTAAAATAATTAATTAAAAACTAAAAATATCATAACAATGGTTCATCTCATCCTGATAATGTATAAAATTAGTCTAACATATCGAAATTACAAGAAATCATATTTAGCCCCTATTTGAGCCACATTAAAATTTTCATCCTCATTCTTCTGCTAATTTTCAACCACACATTTTTCAATAAAATAATATTTTTATCACATAAATAACTTTTCCTTCTATTTCAACCACACATTCTCCATCAATCTACTATTCCAAAATACATTCTTCCAAAATAATATGGCTCAAATACCCCCATAAGTAAAAAGACAGCCCAGATTCTTGATAAATTGAGAAGATGAAGATGAATCTTGAAATCTTGAATCTTTTCAATAGTTTTTTTAATGAATCTCTACGTGTGCATTCTCTTCTTTACCAAAACATCAAGTTTGAACCTTGATTTGATTGAATTATTGCAAGTTCATTCTAATTCTCTCACAAAAATTATGAATTTTCCTCATTTGATGATAATAATTGATGAATATTGAAGTATGAGATGTATATGTGTAACGCCCCAATTTCCATTAATACGAGGCGCTACTTAAGTCAAAATA